TGTTCATTTACTTCAAAGATGTAGTTTTTTTTATTTTATTTTATTAGCTCTCTGCTCTGTTTCTTGTGGTTCTGCTCTAAGCACCGAATGGAGGAAGCAGATGGAAAACAATCGCACATGCTGGCTGAAAAGCAGACAGCAGCACAGAAACGGCCTTATCTGGATTTTTTTTTTTTCTTTTTGAAATTCAAAGTCACTCACTGAGTCTGGAGTAATTAACCTCGCTGTGCCTGAGTGCCTCTCTCACATTAACGACATGTTGTTTTTTTTTTTTTTTTTTTTTAACCAATGAGTAGGTTTCACACAGCTCCTCAGCTGTGCTTGAAAACCCTATGAAAGGGTCTTGAGAAAATGCACCCAACCACTGTTAATAAAGTAATGAACAAGCCTGCTGCTCCTGCTGTTCTTTTAAGAGTCACTGGAATAGCTTTTCTAACAGGACTCTTGGACTCAATCAGTTATGCGAGCTGGCTGGCACAACCTGTGAATGGAGTAGTTTGTGATTATATCTCACGTCATGGCAAATGACTTTGCGACCTCTGAGTTTGCCACTCTGTTATAGTTACCCTCCCCTCATCCCCCCATTTGATCCTGAAAGGATTCTGGTGTGGAACTACACTGCCCTCTGCTGGACAGAGACTCTCATAGCTCAAGGCTTTGCTTTGTGTGAAATCTACAAATGAATCTGTTAGAATGTCATTGTTGCTTATTTCGGCAGTTTAAACAATTAGATATTTATAAAAAATAACAAAACAGAAACTTGCTAGGTTGCTGGATAGAGAAATAAAAGATGAAAAGAATAAGATAAACCATGAATCAACATTTGATTGTAAGTATATTAATTGTTTGCAGCAATGTGACAATCATCCAGATAATTGACACCTTTCTGAAGGAGGGTAAGGGGGGGTCAAAGGTCATTGCTAATGGAAGTGGCTGTATGTATACCGGTATTTTAAAGGAGAGTTGAGTGGAGGGAAAAACTAATGGAAAAGGTTACAAAAGCAGGAATTACAGCAGTATTAAGAGGATTGTAAATGATATCCTATTCTCTGGTTCGGGGAGTGTCACTAAGTATGAATGCTTTTTCAAAGACCAATAAACTTTCATTTTATAAAGAATACTTGCTACTGGAACTGGAAGATTATTTAAATATCCAAAATAAAATCACAACCAAAACCAATAAAAACAAAATGAAAAAACCCCACTGACAACTAAAACTTAAATAGAATAAATTATGAGGTATCTGTGAACAATGCTTTTTAATCTTTAGAATAGAAATTATTTTATCATGTGGTTAATTGATTGTTAATTGTGGCAGAACAATGTGTCACTCATGTAACCTGTTGGTTCACGATTTGTCTTAAAGTTTGTTAGAGTTTGATTTGTGAGCGAACATCAAAAATCCCCGTTCCAACAATAAATACCTTTCTGACATCTTTAAACTGTTTCTGAAGACGGCTTGGAGCGCTTTTAAATTGTTTCCGTGTTTCTGTTCTTGTTTCTGTCTCTCCACAGTAAATGAGATCATCGGCAGAGACATGTCCCAGTCCCCCGGCGCTCACGGCCCTCAGTCGGCGCACAACCATTCGTAGCTCAGATCTTTGCCTTTTTTTATTTTTTTTTATTTTATTGTGGCTCATGCAGCATCACCTCCAGCTGTTAAACCCTGCAAACGCCGATCTGGAGAAGACTGGGGAAAGACAAAGCCACGTTTCTCCGTTTCTCAAGCATGATGTCTCTGATACCGATGGAAAAACACACAACTTCACACAGATGTAGAGCAGAACCATGCTCAGGACAGGGCAGACATGCAGAGCTGGAGCAGTTCTATTAAATTTTTTTTTATTTTTTTTGCTTTTCACAGCTGTGTGTAGGCTTCTATTTGAACATCTGTCCATTCGCAGCTCAGCTGTCTTCCTGATGGTCCGCTTGAAGTTCCCAATCCTCTTCTCGCCAGCGTCAACTTATGAATTGACGATGCAGCTCACAGCTGCAGGGATGCAGGGCTGTGCATCCCACTTCTTCAGAAGATCTTTTTTTTTTTTTTATAATCCGAGCAAACGTGGACACTTACTAACATCGATTAAAGAGAGAAAGAAATTTGAGACTTGGATTTGCCATACAATTAAATCAAACCTTCCAGTAGTATTAAAAGAAGTTTCCCCCTAAATGACGAAAGCGGTAACGGTGTTGGAGTTCAGCAGCTTGTTTTCCTTCTGCAAAATGCAACATTCCTCAGACTTGCAGCTGTGTAAGTATCTGTACAGTAATGAACCCCGTTTCTTCCGTTAGAACTGTTTTTCCTTTGCTTCTTTGAACAAATGCCTTATTAAAGTTTAGCAAATCTGAAATGTAGCACAAGCTTTTCTTTTTGTTTTCTCACCAGACGTTAAGACTGAAGAGTGCTTGTTTTGTAGAAACAGATGTGCTTCTTTTAGATTTATGATTTCACAGTAAGATTATTTAGTGTTTTTTTTATTTTTTTGACAATTCATAGAGGGTTTCTAGTTGGTCCTCAGAAATGGAGCTCTCTGCCACTAAAACTATTCTCCTCTCAAATGTGCCTTTGATTTCCTAACGCATCATGCTTTCAAATGACAGCCGACTCAGGCGTCGATGGAAAATGTTCTGGCAAAAATTGTGAAAGTATTTTATATATAAAGTGGTCTGTATATTGTATTTACGTAAAGTCCTCATTTGTGAAGAACAATGTAAAATCCTAGAATCCAGACAGCAAAAATCTGGACATTTTGGGGTCTTCCAAACCTTTTCTGCTTGCAACAATCAATGTCTGCTGTCTACAATCAGAGTTCTCTTAAATTGTTTCCACAGTTATATGTTGCTGTATTTATTTTGTCTCCGACTCGCGTAAATATGCAGCAATAAGTAATCCTCCAGGAAAGAGCAGACTGACTGATCCAGATGCTGGTCGATGATTTCCACTGACTTTTTATTTTTATTTTTTTGCCTTAAGATTGATGGTGGTTTGAAGTCAGTTTCCAGGTGAAAATGATTCTGCTATGCATTGATAATCTGCTTAATGCCTTTAAAAATAATAATTAAAAAAAAAGACAAAAAAATTTACCTTGATGCCTCTAGAAGTAGATTGTAGGTTCAGTAGACTCATAGATGCTTGAATTGAGGACACAGCATAGGCATCTTCATGCAGTTGTGTTTGAGGATGGATGGTTGCTGCTTGAACCAAATTTCTTGTATATATGACAACTTTTCAACAACAAAAGCACACACGTTTAGGCTATGCACACTATAACAGCAGCAAATGTGAGGTAAAGGTCTTGTAAAGAATGCCTTTGGACTCCACATAGAAGAACTCAGGCTCTCAGAAGAAGTGAATATCATGTCACGTGAACTATGTAGGACGCCTTAACTCCTGCTTGTGAACCAGTTGGTCTGAGTTCATTCCCTCCCCCCCCTTTTTTTCTTCTCCAAAATGACTGAGACTGATCAATAACAGTTATCAGTGTTGTACATTTCAGGTTCACAGGGTCAACCAAATGGGTTGGGGTGGGAGAACAGAGATAAATGTTTGCATTCAAGTCAATCCTGCAGCTTGAGAGACCCGAGTCCACAAACGAACGAAACAAAACCAGCATCGACAATAAACTCTGAACTCCGGCTGCTGTCCTTTTCTGCCACAACCAAAGATCGAACAATTTGTTCCTATTTTCGATAAGGCTGCAAAGACTGTACAACTCTATTTTTGATACTTTCAAATGGATATGGATGTCATTCCTAAGAGGTTAAAGACATTAACAGGTGTCTGTGGAAACTATATATATATATAAATATATAAAAATATATTTATATATATATAAAACTTTGTAAAATAAAAGGGAAATACAGGTTTTAGATGATGTTTACCAAGCCTTGTATTGTCATTTCTTGTATATTTTGTATGTTAAATGTTTTGTAATTTTTAAGACTGCAGTGCTTTTTTTTTTTTTGTTGTTGAAATTATTCAAAGGGAATGATACCTTGCATCATACTGTAGGCTCTAACGTAGTGTATCTCAATAAAACTGAAAACTAACTCATGGCTTCGCATTACTGTTTCCCTGAAAGCAGATTTTGTTTCATCCTTTGCCTTTAACACGATTTCTTCTTCCTGATTTTGTTGATTAAGAATTATTTGTATAATTTATTTTAGTCTAAAATACCAGAATTCGCACATAACTATATTTTTCTCTGATGGCATCAATTTTATGATCAGTCATTCAGTACGTAGGTCACTTTTTACTCTAGTAATTTCTTTATTGAGTATAAATGTTAGTGTGGTTCTTTGGGGTTCTCTACCCACCACTGCTAAAAACCAAATAATGCAAATCTGATTTACAACTTTTAAATTCTTGCCCAACAGAAAAAACTTGCCAGAACAAAAGTTATAGATTTACTGACACTGAAAACTACTTTCTCAGAAAATTGGAAAAGTTTATAACAAATATTTTATCATGGGAAAAACCGCTGACTTGGCAGTTGTCCAGCAGTCGTTTTGACATGTTCTACAAGTAGTCAGAAAATGTCACAGCGAGCCGCTGGTTGCTCAGAACGTTCAATTCCAGTGAATTAATGTAAAGTTGAGTGGAGGGAGAAAATGTAGGTATAACTGCACAAACAACAAATACCAATATGTTAGAAAAGGAAGAAAAAAAAAACAACAAGCTGACAAACAATGAGAGGACATGACTTTTGCATTCCTTGTCCTAAATTTGTTCCTGAGCCAGATTCTTCCAGGTAAGATTGAAAACTTCTTACCTTGATTAAAAAAAAAAGGCAGTTATTTTAAGTGGTTTTTTTTTCTATATTGAATCTAATTGTTGAAATCAAGGTCCCAGAATGCAAGTTGTGCTCAGCACCTGGACAGCCTTATACCTGTAAAGTTTACAACGCTCACTGACGAGCTTTATGAAGTTGCTGAAATCATTTTCCAGCACGACTTTTAATAGTTTAGTTCTCCAATAAGGTAAACCACTGATGCATTGATATTTGTCAATATTTTTATTGTTTACATTTTATACATAGACCTAAATTCATGCATCCTTAGGTCGCAACAAAACAAATATCTCATCTGCCACCAGAGGCTCCTATGCCTCCTGTGGGCCAGTATTGCACTCTGGGTAATGTAGGCTTCGTAAAGAAAAAACAAAAACTAAGACAATTCAGTAGGCCTCTCACAGGAAGGAAGAAAAAAAAAGGGCTCTTGCAGTTTTACACGGCTCTGGTTGTTCACAGGAACTGAATCGTAGTGCAGGCTGGTTGTTTTAGTCTGAAAACAAAAACCAAAGCAGCGGCTGCAACGGGTCAATCAATATACAAGACTGCAGGAAAAAAAAACCAAGTCAATTTACAAATAATAAAGTTTTAGCTTTTGTAGATAAGTATGAATGAAAGTAGAATTAATTTACTGTCAAACTGTTAAAGATGTGCAGCGTAGCGTCTCTGTGAGTGGAGCAAACCAAAGCATCTGTTGTGCTTAGAAAATACTTAAAGGTTTAGACATGCTGGTGGTCACACAAAAAATGCCTTAAAAAAAGTCACAGGTTAATTCATACACTGACACAGATGTGCTACACAGTAGTATAAACTAATATTCCCTGAAGCTTAAAGTCGCTTACTAGCTACATTTAAATCATGACAGTTTTAGGATACTGATTGACTGAGAAGTATAAAGTAGTCCTTATGGCTTAGACATTTTTATTGTCATAACTAAACTGCTGGAGAATATTTAGCCTCCAAACATTTCTTTTTGCAGCTAACAAAAATGTTCATAAACACAAAACTCTAAATGTGTAAGTGGTTAAAGCGTTGCAGTTCAGAAATATAAAGACAAACGTGTATAAATGCATATATGCCTCAAGCATTTCAGGAGACAGGTCTGTACAGTTGCAAGGACGATAAGTTGATCTCCAACTTTGGCTTTGCAGAGTGTCTGCATGCTCTGCCCAGGCTTCACACTATTCCTTCCCCACCAGCAAAGTCACAAAGTCCAGCGTCAGGCTGCTTCGTCTGTGGAAGGCCCGGCTCCAGCAGCAGCTTCAGGAGTGTGAGGACCAGCGGAGAGGTGTGTAGTCAAAGTACAGATCGTACAGAGAGGGAAGACTTCCACAGGTTCTCTGTAAAGAGTTTGGAGGCGTTTCTATTGGAAAGGGGAGGAAAGTGGGAGAGCTGGTGGTCAGTTACAGAAAACCAAGTGGATCGGCTGGCCGTAGAAAGGATGGTCCGAGCGCTCGGCTACGGCGCGCCGGGCGACGTCCTCGTTGGGGAAGGTGATCAAGGCCTCGCCGCTGCACTGACCGCTGAAGTTATACAAGATAAGCACGGCGTCTGGCTGGAGCTGCAGGAGGAGAGAAAGAAAAACAAAAAGACTCAGTGAGTTTCTTCAGTGTCCCGTAAGTGAAAGGAAAACCATCAGAGGGCGCCCACAGTGAGGAATCATGTTTGATGGGCTCATCAAACCAGTCCAGTTACCAAAGCAGAAAGATTAAAGAGCAGAGGACGAAAACAGAGGACATGCTGTTCTCACACACCTGAAACCAACGAGACCGGCAGAGATGACGCACGCAAAAAGCAGCTGTTAGTTCACATGCACTGAAGTCTTTCACCAAGATCAAATTCAAACACAACAAACATACACAAGTCATTTAAGAAAACATTTAAAAAAAAATAATAAAAAGATAAAGCGGTAAAACCCAAGGAGACGGGGAGTAAACGGGAAGCATCAGTCATTCCACATAAATAGTCAACATCCGTGAAAAGGCTCGAGTGAAATATCGTGTTTTTTCACTTCTGGCCACTGATATCTGCTACTTTCACTTAATGAAACACTGAAACTTCAGTCAACTGGATCGCTACAGATACGTGAAGCTAAAAGATGGCAGGACCCCAATTCAATTCAAATAATGCGTCGACTTCAAATCTGCACTTCACGGCTGATAAACCTTTCAAGCATTTAGGAACTTACTAAATCAGGTGGTTGAATCTACATTTCCATGCCAGGAAAATGCAATCGAAGCTTTAGAAAGAATTCAACTGTCACTGCACGCAGCAAACACCTGAACATCTGCGCTATTTTTGTGACACAGCTGTCACTAAGGGGATGTGGGTACAAAAATGACAAAGTGAGAATAAAATAGCTAGAAAATGGAACTGATATTTTTACATTTAGAAACGTGGCACGAATTGAGATTCTGGTTCAAATCAGGACTGAGGCACATTACTGGCTGTTAATGATTTGTTTAAGTGTTGGTCTCGAATAAAGACGTGTCAGTGAAAAGGAGGACGTTAAAATGAAATGACTAATTACTAAATCAAGAACTCTGAGGTTTGATCATTGAAACTAAGTCAGTGCTCATGCAAATCAGACAAAGAGCTCAGGATGGAAATGGAATTTAAAAATGTATTAATGGGCCACAAAGCAAAGCTCCTCGGCATTCAGAAAGCATGCAGAACTGCAAATCACTGAACAAGTTAGATGAGTAAAGGGAATTGCAAAAGTATTCAGAACCTCATTTATTTTTTACATTTTGTCATGTCGGTCACAAACTTCAATGCATTTATTTCTTTTTTTAATATGTAGGGTGGGGTTAGGATTATGCTAAGTCTAGCATCACTCTAACCCTAATTGTGATATCTAAAATTTAATACCCACGTTGCAAAAATATTTTTTCAATAGTATTAAAAGGTTTAGATTATGAACCGACAAACGTTCCTCTTCCTGCTAAAGAAAAACAACCTCTGAGCACGAAGAGCGAACTAAACGTCAGCTCTGAAACGCCGTAGGGCGAGAATAAAAATAAATCCAATGGCTTCAAACAAAAATTGACCCTGATCTGGTCTTAAATTTATATTGCAGCTAAACACTATTCCAGTCTCTTCTTTAAATGTTTTACAAACTTTATGATCTTCTAAGGTAATTGCACTATAAAAAAAAAGATATCAAAGGTAAGACGATTCATAGTTACACTGGTGAATGTTTTATTTCCGTCCCACGTTACAAGCAATCTGCTGCTTTGTTTTCGTTTATTACATTACATGTACATTAAAAAAAAACATTAAAGTTTGTGGCTCAAACTTGATTTCCAGGTGTATGAACACTTTTGCAACGTTCTGCAGATTAAATGATGATTAGTGGTTATGCGCCAGGATTTTCTGAGCTGAGGAGGCGCCCTGTCTCCGTCTGCCTCGCTGCTCCTCTTACCTTGGTGTGAGCCCTAAAGGCAGAGCCATTCTTTGGGCTGAATCAGACTCCGGGCCTGTTCGTTCATCTGAACCAAGCCGCTGTACTCGTCAGGGCCGTACTACAGATACAGTACAACGATGAACACACAGTCAGGGTGGAGTGGCCTCAACATTGGGTTAGACATCACAATGCACATTTTTTTACCCTCACACAAAAGGTACAGATGTGTAGAAAGATGACCAAGAAAACAACAACAACAAAAAAAAACAATTCAAAATAAAACCACACTGAAACAAAAGAGAAATTCACCAAATACTGGTCACATTTAAAAACAGATGACAGTATTGAAAGTTTGAGGATCTCTACAAAGAGACAGTTTTCTTTCTCAGGACCTGTGTGTGAGAAATCATAATGGAGCTAGAAAACACACATATCACCTACAGAATCTAGAAAACAACAAAATTCATTAAACAGTGACCATCAGCTTTCAAAGAAAAAAAATAAAAAACACACACAAAGCGTACCTACATTTCTCCAAATGCAACTAAAAACTGCTTTCTTGTTGGTGTGAATGAACGAAAGAAAGACCAGCAACAGAGCCAAGATATCTGCCCCAATAAAAAAAACAGCAGCACCAGAACCTGCCCCCTACCTCAAACCCACCGCTTTCCTACGTGAACACACCTGTCATGATTCATACCTGCATCAGCGGACTCCACCTAATTCAGCCTGGCAGCAATAAGTATTGCAGCAAAGAGGAGCAGGAGAGCACAAGTGAACACATGGAACTTAATCAAACAGTGCAGTTTGCAAAACTCCAATGCATTTTGTTGCAAAGTGAGTGAAAAGTTCAGGGTTTGGGAAAACAAAAATGAAAATCACTTAAAGTTTTTGTGGTGCAGCAGAACTGGGATGCAAAATAAATCGTCAACCAAATAAACTAATCAGTCATCTTTTTTTTCCCATGTTCTAAAAAATGCAGGATTCTGATTTCAAATAAAAATTGCTGAACATTAATCTTATACAAGGAATTTCTGTTCATGCCTTTGTTCTCACCTGATATCCCTGGAAGAAGCTGAGGATGTCTTTGACTCCGGTGTTGTACGGCAGACCCTGCATCCTGACCAGGGCGCCCGGCTGCGGCAGGACGGAGGAGGCAGCGGCCGCAGCCGGGTGGGCCGGAGTCGCAACGGAGTGGGCCTGAGCCGCCACCGCAGCCGCCATGGCGCCCGGTGGAGCCGCAAAGTAGCTGACGGTGGAGGGAGAAACCGGGGGACTGGAGGGGGAACAGAGGCGTCAGATACAAGGCCTGCTGCTTATTTCATGTGCTTGGTTTACATATGCTTTGGTTTTTTTACCTGGGGTAATAAGCAGTATAGTTCATGTTCATGTTCATATAGAGATGCGGCTGCGGGGGGTAGTAGGCCAGAGCGTGAGCAGGACTGTGGATGGTGGTCTGAGGGCCCCTGGGGGCCGCCAGCAGGGGGGGCTGGTACAGGGCCGCTTCAGAGAGGATGGCAGGCGGAGTGGGGAAGGCAGCATAAGCTGTAGGAGGCGACAGACCTACAGGGGGACGGACATGGACAGGACAGTTTAGAGACAACCCCACAGAGCAGCATACTGGATTACAACAGTACAGTCTGTGGAAACGCTGCTTCACTGAGTCAGAAGAATCTCTCCTTGAACAGGGAGAGAAAAGCTTTGGTTATGTTTTCCAAAAAAACTCTTGAAATTAGAGTAACTACTTGCATTTAAAAGACTTTCTGAGAAACTGAATTTTCATTACTGGCAAACCTTATTCTTCAAATTTCCCATCAATAATTCACAATGCTCTGAACAGGATTTAACGTGACCTTATTAGCATTTAAAAGTCAAAGTATTTCTGTTCTTTCTTGTTAATTTGTCTTTACTAGAGCAGGATGCTTGTAAGCACGCAGACAATCCTCTACATCGAGTTAGATGGAACCACACCCACGTTTCACCACTTCACTGATTGTTTGAAATTACAAAAATACAACTCTGCTGTTGCCCTTCATCTTACTGCACTTTTTGTCCAAACTTAAAAATCCCTTACATTTGAAAAGATCTTTGAAACACGAGGACAGCACCAAGATTAACAACTAGGACAACAAGCTTAGAGTTTAATTTTTTGCTGTTACTGCTTCAAAAACAGATATTTCTTCACAGTCTCTTAGTGCAGCTAGACATTTCTAATGATGTTAATGATTTTAAAAAAGGAAGTTCAACAAGTTGCAGAAGGTTTCAAAAATCTTTGACGCTGTCAAAGCGATTCTAGGTATGCCAAGACAAAATCTACTTTAAAAGAAAAATTACATACATTCCAATTGTAAATAATATATAAAGATAGAAGAGCTAAATCTCTTATGTGCCTTTAAATGGTGGCTTATTGTCAAGAAACATGCAAAAGAAAATTTGTCCTTTTGGTTCCCAATCTAATCTCTAAGGGCAAAAGCAGATAGGAGTCACAAGCGAGCAAAGTACAGTTACCCGCTTTCTGCTTCATCAAAATCACATTATTGTTTAAGCAGTAAACAAGTTTCTACCAGCAGGCTATAGTGATGTGATGCACTCGTTGTATTTGTCTGCAAAACACCATTAAAACAGTTTAACTCCAGGAACGCGACTCATAACACATAAGTGTGAGGTCATATCAACGCCAGTCAGTAACATCTGATATTTTCACAATTGGAGACAATTTGAGTCTTGAAAGATCCTTTCCGAAAAGGTAAACGTGCAAACGTTTCATTTAAAACCTTAACTTGTGATGTTTTTAAGCAGACGTTCATTTTGTTTGAATCTAATACAACTTGGCGCACATTTTCTATTGTTATTTTCTAACTCAATGAATTCTTCTCAGTTCATTTCCCTATTAATTGCACATAATTCATAAAGTACTACAATTTGCAAAGGAGAGAAAAAGTTGTTTGATTGTAAAACATAAAGTTGTGGAGGAACTCACAGGGAAGTTTGCAGGGTGGAGGAGAGAGGCCGCTGCGGTTCAGGGTTCCTCCCATCAGAACAATGCTCATCTCCTCTGTGGAGCACTGGAAGACCTCAACATACCGGTCCTTCATTGTCTTTTTGTGGCACTTTTGGGCCACCAAGAATGCCTTGTCAGGTGACTTCATTTGGATGAAGGCATCGCCAGAGGGTCGGCCCTGTAAAGCAGAAGATCACCAAAACCATCAGAACAACGCAGCAGGCCGAGAGAAAAATAAATAAATTATGGTGAACCTGATTTTTTTTTTTTTTTTAAAAAGCACTTGACTTTGTGATACCACAGCTCTAAAAGTTTTTTATGCGCATCACAAAACTCTGACCTGCTGGTTAAGGACCATGTGGACTCCATGAGTCTTGATGTCGATCGTATGGTCGCCCATGAACTCCAGGATGTCCTCGATGCCGGCGGTGTACGGCAGCCCGCGGAGCCGCACGCAGTCGCGCGTGCTGCTAGCCGTCGGCAGGAAGGGAGGCGTGGAGAGGACTGGAAGTGGTACAATGGGCGATGGAGGCAGAGCGGAGATCAGAGGTGTGGACATGTAACGATTCAGAACCTGAAAAACAAGATCATTTAAAAATAAGCCTTCAGTGAGAAGAATATAAAGTCTTAATTAACTACAGATTTAAGCCAGGCAAACACTCCAATTAATCAGATTAAAAATGCAGCACTTTTTTTTTTTTTACTCAAGAAATTGGCATGTTTTGTGATGTTTTGTCACTTCTCCCTGTTTCCATGCCATCAACTGAGGAAGCAACTGCTGAACACTGGTTTCACATAAACTCCTCCCAGCTGAAGCCACGGACAACAAGCATGTTTGAATATAAAAACAGAAGAAAAGCTGAAAGTTTCACTTCATGGTACTCGCTGTAACACGCTATTATTAGAAACCAATTTAACCAAAAACAATTCTTCCTTTTGAAGGGCAGCCTACTCTACTATGTGGCCACCAACAGCAGCCAGATTGAACCTCACACAAATTTATAGTCTCTTCAAAGAACCTCAAGAATATCCTTGATGGATTCCTGGAATAGTTTTTCTCCTGGGATGTTAGCCCAAATCCTGGACTAACATCCCAGGATTTTTTTTGTCTATCATTTCTGGAGTGTATTTACACAGTGGGCTCTAAAACAAGTCTGTTTACATGTGCCGAGTGACAGATCTTCCTTCTGTGTTGATCTTGGAACAGATTTCCTCCCTCCGTAACAGCAGAATGTGGATGAAATCCCTGCCATCCCACCACAGTGCTCCACGTTTAGTTCAGGATCAATCGAGGCAACATTCCAAGCGTGTTTATGATGAGGGCATAACATTATAGCATGGCATAAAGCTCCAAAAAGTTGATTCTTATAAAACATTGCCAATTTGAGAGTGTACATTTCACAGACAACAAAAAAAAGAAAAAAGAAAAGCTACCTGTTGAACCTCGGCTGCAGTGCTCCGAAACAACTCGATATACCGCTTCCCCAGAATCTGTTTGTGCTTCTTCAGAGCGTTCTGAGCGTATTCCTCACAGGAGAAAAGCACAAAGGCATCACCAGTAGGCCGTCCGTCGGGGTATTTGACGAAGAGGAGCCCCTCTGAGCCGTCCGTGACGGGACTCTCAGGACCGAGGAAGGACAACACTTCCTGGGTCGTCGCCGTGAACGGTAACCCGCGCATTCGTATGATCACCTGGTTCTCTTTAGATAGGAACTGAGCCACCTCATTGGACGTCCCTAAAGCAACACAGGATACATCAATTATAATGCAGATACTTATTAAAAAATTTATTTTTATGTTAATGTTGCCAATTTGCTTTGACAGGCACATCACTTTCAGTGACCTATTAGAATTTAACTTATCTTTTACAGCTAAATTTACATGTTTGGTTCTTTTGAAAATGAACTCCAATATCAATGTAATGTCTAGGAATACCAACATGTTTGTCATAACTATAAACTAATAAAATAATTTTTTTAATTAATGAAAACAATACCAATGTGTTAGTTGTGTTTGTATGCCAATGTTTCTCTAGTGTTTATTCTAGTCTATGTTTAGTTTGACATTTGTATTATTTTTAGGTTTTTCGACCTCTACAAGTACATACAGACATTTCATTTGACTTTATTATGTACTTTGAAAGCACTATGTTATGATGGTTATAATTATTGTAGATCTTTACTGACTACAAAGCATATTTTTTCTTTAACCAAAAACAACAGAAAAGATTCCCCATGCTTCACAATAAGGGGAAATCTGAAATTCCACTGAGTCTGACAAACAAATGAACAGAAGTAAGTCTCTGGCTGCATGGACCTTTTCAGCACACACTGGTACCATAATGAAACGATTGTAAATCAGTTCCAATTCGCTCAAATACACCAATTTTCACTTCACAATTTACAAAAAGTTCATTTCATTCCCGTTTTCTTAAACACGATGTTTAGTTACATACTTTTGATGGCGTTGTGAACTCTGTAGCTAAATTAAATGTCACCATCTAGTGCAACAGCAAACCAGTGGTTAAGATGTAAAGTGGTGTTTAGTTACAAGGAAAAAAACTGGCAGCTGTCCATAAAAGCGTGCAGCAAGCAGAACCACTTCAGAGCTGCTTCATTCACTGACCCTCATCAAAAAGTCATTTACAGTTGGATGGCAATTTATATTCTTTAGGTCATGTTCCTCTTTATTCAGCACAAAAAAAATTATTTTAGGCAAAAAAACAGAAATAAACTGACCACTCAACTAAAAGAAAACAAAATTTTGTAACAAAATTGTAAACTTTTGACAAATAAGAATTTTGTATAAAAAGAAGATAAAGCCATGTTGTAAGTCACACTCCAAGCTGGAGTATTGTTAAACAAGATCTACACAAGAATTAAACTTTAAATTATCACATTGCAGCACGATGATGCAAATGGTCTTTTAGTTTATACACACTTGCACACTTTGATATGACAAACTCATAATTCAACTTAAAGGTATTTCAGAAATCCTCTAACCAATAACATAAATTATTTACTTTTCAAGTTATGAAAAATGGTAGGAAATATTAAGGACCACATAATGTTCCTTCATGCGTTCACTTAGCCTGAAAAAAGGTATCCACGTTGCCCGATTTATTTGCTTAAAGTCTTTTGATCTGTATTGATCCTTACTCATTAGTGTAAAGTCCAGTTCCTGACTCGCAGCCACTGTAAGCTATCTGTTGAGTGTGTCTGTTATCTATAATTGATGGCCGCTGTTCAATGGTCAAGAGGCCCCAGGTTCTGCTTTTGTCTTTTCACACCCTGTTTGTAACAGAGAGTCTGTTCTTTCACAGTACAGCCGCCCTCTTTGCCTCTTGGGAATCAAACTAGAGGCTGAATAGGTGAGCCGCTCAGAGCCCAGAATGACATTTCTCTGCAACTGGCCTCAGAGGGCTTGGCGATAGCGGGTACGGGGCTGCACCGCTCACAAAGTGCCTTTTATTAGAGGGAGAGCAGCTGCCAGAGAATCACTGGATTGAAGCAAAAAAACAGGTAATCGGAGAAAGAACTAAGGAGCTGCAACTTTACACGCACGTGTGCTTGGGGATGAGGACAGGAAAGTATGAGAAACCACAAAATAAACTCTTACATAAACAAAACATGTTTGACCAAATTTTTATGCAAATATGTGCAATGAGATGAAAGGAATTAAAAAAAAAAATCTGAAATCTGACCTCCAGCAATCTTGAGAAATTCTTCTCCTGTCGCTTTGTAGACCTGAACAAATTAAAATAAAGAAGGAAAAAAAGAAAATATTCATAAACTGTAAATGCTAAGTCACATGACTCTGATAAATAACAGCAAAATAACTGCGGGGAAACGAGAAGTTATTCAGGGTTTTCACTGAATCTGTGTATTTTTGATTCACAGATTCAAACCGAGACTTCCCACACTGAAGATACGGGATCAATGCTCAGTTGAATAGATATTCAATACGTAACTGGTAACTAAAACCTAAAGAAGCATAAGTTAGCAGGACTAACTTCAATATATCTGCTGCCCATGTGATGTTTGTGTCGCTCCAGAGCCAGGTCTCTGTGCTCTGCGTTGATGAACCGAACCAAGGCTTCCCCGTTCCTCCGGCCCTGAGCGTTCAGACAGAGGGCCACGCCGCCCCTAAAACACACAAAACAGATATCTCAATAAACATAACTACACAACAAATATCAAAAGCATTACAAGCTTTCATTTAACATCTTTGTCATCAATGACAAGTGGTGATTTTGTAACTTCCACATTTCACCACATATTAACCAATAACTATTACATCAAAAAACATGTTTTTAATCCAACATTGATTGATTTATTCATTTACAGTGCGAAAGCTACTAACACTACTAAGCTGATAACACTTTTCTGTAAAATCTAACAGACTCTATTTAGATGTAATTTACCATCTGACCTGAATTTTTTCTATTTTTTCCTGAAGCTGCCATGCGCACATCTCTGATCACATCACGGAAACTATAAGGTAACTGATCAAAGTGCCTTTGGCATTTTTACAGCCATTTTTCTGCATTTCTACTTCAAAGGGTGCATATAGACATTCAGTACAGCTGCCACAAAACACATGATGTGTATGTCGATAGTGGATTTCTATTTTGCAATGAAAAATTGGTATGTTTTTATTATAATAAAAAAAAAAAACACCACTGGATCATTAAATATATTTTGTGAAAGCTCTGATAAAAATAAATCCATCAGCTCCTCTTTGTCACCATTTCAGTTTTAGTCACATGAATTTAAATAATTTATTCATTGTAACAGAGATTTAAGAAAAAAAACAAACAGTGACGTTGAACATACTTGGCAATATTGAGTCCCTTAAAGAAACGAGCAATATCCTGGTCTGAGGACTGCCATGGAAGGCCCCTTGCTCTGATCACCGTCTCGCTGTCCACCGGCTCGGTCTTACTGCTGCAGGAAAAAAAGACATTTGAGAAACTTGAGTAACACAACTAAGAGCTGATATTCTTGGTGCTTTTGCACATGTCTGATATTTCTCCCAGTCTTGCTCAGTTTGAACTAATTGCCCACAGAAACAGGGCTCTCCCCCAGTAAGTGCCGAACACAGTGACGCTCTTTTGGTTAAATGTCAGAGGGCTGAAGTGATAGCTCTTGGCTGCCTGAGAAGAGCAGGATCTACTGCTTAGCTACTGAATATCCAGCTAAGCACTTGATGGCAAAGTTGGACTACTCTAATGACACACTTGTGTTTTCCTTGTTGCTGTAATTAATGCTCTCAGACCAAGGTTTCAGATGTGAACACGATTGGAGAGTTTAGAGGCGGGGGGTTGCTGGTTTTTTAGCAACAGTACCCTTGAAAAATGTGAAATTTATGCATGATTGAGAAATGAAAAAGGTTTACTTACCATGTGCCAGATTCAAACTTGGAATTCACAGTTTCAGCACAGTAGAATTTGTGATCTAGGGGGAAAATAACTATATCTTAATACACCAAACAAGCTGAAAATAATGTACTATTTGGCTGCGAATAAGAGATAAAGTCTTGATAGGACACATTGGGTTATAGTTTGAATTATCTCCATATAGTAACACATCTTTAGTTCATTCAGTCAGGAGCTGGCTTATTCCTTCCTTTTTCAGAGAATGCTACACCCAGCTATTTCAAGGATCTAATATTACTGCATTGTAGACTTATTCTGTGTACCAACACTGGTAGTTACTTACTGTATGGCTCATCCAGGATGCAGAGCGTCAGCTGCACCATGCTGTTCACCTCCCTCACACCTATCATCTGCTCTGACACCGCAGGGAGACCAACATCTGTGCCTGCTGTTAAGGCTGTCAACTTTCAGCTGGTTTTAAAATCATCTTCTTTAGCTCAAGATGTTACACTTTTATCTTTAAGTTAAAAGTAAACATTTCAAACAGTGTAATATTGTTGCCCTGTATGCTGTTTTTTTTTTAAATCCCCAAAATGGAAATGAGAACAAAGGATACAATCCAACATGGAGGAGAGTGAGAGCTTCTGCAAAGAGCTGGCATTCGGGCAGCATTTGAGAAACTCTTTCCGCAGGTCCACAAATGAAAAGAAACACTCCGGTAGTACAAGATTCTGGACAGAAAATAAAATGTTAAAGAAGAATAAAGAAATCAATCTTGACGACATCATCAATACAAGGGTTACAACAAGAATATGTTCCAACCTTCATGTATTATGAGAAAGTCAGGAGCCCCAAATAGATTTATATATAGAAAAACTCCTATAGTGTGAGCACATTCCCAGCTCCTAAACTATTCTTTATGCTTTTAAGTTGTTTCTAACACATCCTTATACAACTGGTTGAGTTAAATTAGTGATATTTTATGACATAGCAAGATATATATGACAACCAAAAACACGTAATAAGTACTTGAAGCAGAACCATAAACCATTTTCTAAATATATGACTTTATATGATTGAAGCCCCTTAACGTTCACCCCCAGAAAATACAATGGAGGTTAAGGGATTACAAAAATGTCCTTTTACATAAACACACACAAAAATAAGACCTAGGCAGATTTTTTTCAAACTTTACCTTTTTGGAGGCTTCTGGGTGGAGGGCCTGTCGAATTATTAGAGGACCGTTCACCAAGAGTGTGTACGAACTTCTGCTGAGGCATTTTACTTCTGATGACACAGACTGCTGAATCTACATAGGAAAACATGGAAAGGACAAACAAGTGTGGGTTACTTTTTTATTTATCACACGGGAAACCATTAATTGACGTGCTTAGCTGAAACACCAAAATATATTAAATAAATAAAAAAGAGGTGTCCCATTTTCTTAACACAGATATGCAGTAAATGTTTTAGATTGATAAAATCTGGTAAGAGTTTAAACCAATCTGGGAAATTGGAATTTAAAATGTGAATGTGTTTACGTGCTTGTTATTTATTTATTTATTTTTTATCTCTGTCTCGCGTCAGGGAAGAGGCACGTCTAACAGGTTTCAGTGTTTGCAGCAAGAGGGGAAGGAGGAAACAGAGGGAAGGAATGATCACACCACTAATCATTAGGATCACAGATTCTCTTTACACAACCTTCAGCCGTTGTCATGAGGGGAAAAAAAAAAAAAAAGCAAGTCTAACCGGCTCTGATGGCGACAGCAACCAGGCCTGAATACCAGCAGACAATCATGTTTATTTATAACACAGAGCTGCATCAGTCTGTTGTCAAGTCTGTAAGAGAGAAGTCAAATCTTCAACTGCCAATAGTTTTTACTTGATGTAGTTCTTAGGTTCATCAAAAAATTGTGGCTCAAATCTCTTTGTTTTACCAACATGTGCTTGTAATAATTTTAGAGACCTGAGACTTCAGAGTCTACATCACTGATTCATAGACAGAGGACAGAATATCAGAAACAAAGGCCATGGTATAGTCTTCTAAAATCTTTCTGGAGTTTCATGCTTGATGACTTAACAAGCTGAAGATCAGCTACTGCATATTTTTTGGGCGATTTGCATCTAACACATTCCCGTGTGAAGAAGCATTTAGACCATCTGGATATGGAACCACCTTCGGCTCAGCGTCTGACTGGTTCACACAGCCTCTGGCGATCTATGGCAGGTTTTTAGGCAGTGGGAGAGTATTACAGGTCCATGTTGGGGCATGCTTCAAAACATGTCTGATTATTTGACAGCTCAAGTACCGACTAACAAGACCAAAATACGCTGTAGGGTTAAAACAGCTGGAGAGAAACTCTCAAAAAGCAGAAAAGGTCAGACTGCTTGTCTACTTACAGAGACCCCTTTAAACATTTGGCATGGTTGCAGATTTTTAAGGTATGCCAAGGTTTAGAAAAACAAAAGTTATACTTTCAAAAGCCTTAAAGTTTCCCCTTAAAGTGCCAGGCTGCAGTTTTCTACAGGTGGATGGATCATAAAGTAGTGCAATGCTCCCCATCCCCCCACACACTGCAGGTCTGCTAGTTAAGAGGGTCCCCTCAATGCTCCCTTGCTTAAAACAATAACAAATTCAATTGTTTGGAAATATTTCAAGTCAAGAAACATTCTGTGTGGAGACTAAAAGATTGACAAATGTCACTCTTAATGAAGTAACGGCATCTTTAAATCTATATCTGGAAAGCCACAAGCAGAATTTCTGCTATATATAGTTTTTAAACTTATCTCAATGTTTAAAAAGCACAACAGAATAAATATATGATAATGACCAATATATATTTGTAAAGAATTTAGCTTTTTAATACTACTATTAAATTAAGCAAGTGATCAGGTCAAATGTTTGCATTAACTTTTGCATACAATCTAAATAAATTTATAGATGAAACCTTTAGAGTTGATATAATGGAGGTCATAATTAAAATATGCAAATGTTAGTAAGATGACATAGATAATGATGTTACAACAAAGACAGTACTGGAACCAGTGTCCAGAATTAGATAAATATCAAAGATGATGAAATACCAAAGCATCAGGATCAATGGGAAATAGACTTGCTGTGAACGTTTTATTGGTGTCCCAATAAAATAGAAGATAAGCAGTTCAAACAGAAAGACTAACTGCATACTATTTGCAAAGCATAGACAACAAAAAATGTCTCTGCAATGAACCCAGCTTTTTTAATTTCCTTGATCTATGTTTACATAAAATGTTAAGCAGATGATGTCACAAAAGGTAATTTGTCCTAATTTATAAGGTCAAACATTCATCCTAATTTCTGAGGCTTTTATTGTCCAAACGGTAAACACAAAGAAAAAAAACACCAAACAAATCATGAGACCGAAGTTTCTTAGATTGACTAAGCTGCACATTTTAAGTTTGGCAAAGCTGAACTATTTTTTATTTACAGTGATAACAAGAGTGAGCTTCTCTCATACCTGAGCATACAGCCCCGCCTCAGACCATTCCTAAAGCTGGATTACTGAGAGAAAAGCAAATGTTAAAGAAAAGGTGGAGACACACCCTCTACTTTTCTCTTCAACTTTAACAAAGAACACAAAGTAAATATGCTCAACATCATACAAATCCCTCACTGATAACCAGTGCAAACCAAACCAATAAACTGACCACATGACTCATTTCACAGTCTCGATACTTTCACTGCACGTTATTGATTGTACATTGAATATGAAAAAGTCTTGTTTCAGTCAAAAATCCAACACTCCCTTCTACAAATATGCACCAACAATTAAACAGGATAGCGCAATCCCTCTCTCAAGGGCGATTCAAAAGATGAGGGGGAGGAAGTGGCCTTTGCACATGGTTCTGTGTAGAGTTTACTCTCCGCTGAGGCTGGACTGCTTGTATGCAGAGGTGAGGTAAGATGGAGGTGGCTGGAAAAAAAAAACTCCGATAAGAGAGCAGGGAGTGTCCTGACAAGCCATGTGGGCAACTGTTTAAACACACACTTGCACCAGAGAAGCTACTGACACAAAGACTGCTGGAGTCTGGGTCAAAATCATAGGAGAAATGTGTTACCTATAATCATCTTCAATATTTAAAATATCAGCTATTTAAAAATAGCTGATAAATATGAAAAATCCAGTCAGTCAATATGCATGTTGTCCATGTCTGAAATCTTGAATTCAATTTGCACACTACATGTAAAAGTTAGTGTTGTTTTGGTGCCAGAAATCTTTACAGCACAGAATCACTTCCAGCTACCAGCTATATTCCCTGCCATAATACCAGCAAAAGAAAGAAAGAAAAAAAAAAAAATCATACTTTGTCATTTGTGACTAAGATCCGAAACAGTTGAATCTGAAGTGAGCTCTGAAACTCAATGTTTCACAACAATGTCTGTAAAATCTAAGATAATGTGCAATCTGCACGCTGCAACATGTTGACGACTGACTGAAAACCCAGCCTGTCAAGTCAGCAACGGTTCAGCTCAGTTTTTTTTTGTTCATAGCAACTAAACTAACTTGGCTTTTCTTTACTGAGAGAAGACAGCAGCATCTGAAATCTTTCAGTCGGAAATAAAGTTAACTGAATCAAAAGATGTCACAATGACATTTTAGATAAATATATGATCCTTGTTGAATCATCAGCCATGTGATCAGCAATAAGGCCTGAATCAAACAGAGAATTATAAGATTCTCCTTTTTTATGCATAAAAGCATATGTCCCTGCCATTTATCCATTCAACATCCAATGTTAAAACATTTTGTCAATATATATGCTGGTTTAAGTGATCAGAGACTGAAAATGTGAGGAGTTTAAGATGCATTTCATAAACAGATGCTTGATCTGAGCTAATCAACTGGAAATGTTCAATCTTTGCTTTTCTATTTAAAATTGATAAAAGCCATTAATCAAGCTACTATTCACACAATATTGAAATACAAGAGTAATTAGCAAAAACCCAAGTGATCAATCACAACAGCTTTCTCTACATTAATAAATCGTTCACCTAGCAGACGCCCTTGGGCCTGTGCTACACACCTCATTATAAAAAGCCCACTAAGAGTGAGGAAATAGCTTTTTATGTCAATGAACATGTAGGCAAGTAAAATCATATTCAAAACATCTGTTCCAGACCTCTATGCAACAAAAGGTGTTCAGAACTTTTAAATACCAGGAAAAACTGTAATTTTATTCTCTTCCTTAAATAAACAAAGTAATCTCAGAATGACCCACAGAGAAGGAAAGTAGCCAGTCACACAGAGGTATGAAAAGGACAAACTGAGTGCTTGGGTTAATATTTGAAGGTTCAGCACACAGTCTCACCTAAATGAGATAAAGCCTTACTCAGTCTGTAATCATGACATAATTTCACCAACTTTGATTAAAAAAAAAAAAAAACCTTTGTCTTTTATAAATTGCGTCAGCAGTAAAACCGAAGAAAAATGGATTGACCAAAACTAATTTGGTAAAGCATTTAGTATTAACATGATCTACTAAAAGAGTGACTCTAATTAGTCCAAACAAGCAATCCTAACGTTTAGCAACATTTCCAATTATGTAAAGACATGCCCCTAATAGAGATGACCACAAAAGCAAAAATATTTCTCTCAAGAATGATTCGTGACATGCTGCAGGAATAGATTTGCACACATCACACACTGTGGTAATAAGTTTGCAACGCTAAAGAGGAATCAGGACTAGGGTGCTGACACACCCGGTTATGAGGCAGAGTTGCTGAAGCAGCAAGTTGTTTTAAAACTGGGCTCCATTATGAAATGTCCCACAACATTGGGTCATTTCAATTTTCCCTTAAAACAGGTCAGTTTATACCTACAATATTTTATCAAACATTAAAGCATTTTGATTGGAACTTTTTCCAGTCTAACCATGGTGCAGTTACAGAAACAGCATCCTGAACTAGGTAAGTCAACACAGCAAACAAACATGTAGTAGCAATGTGCCCGTCATGTCCTGCAGCCTGAAACTGAGGAGCAGTCACAGGTAAACACGCTGCCTTCCAGATGTCTGCTGTATGCATTAGACCAAGGCAAGACCAGACCTGTGACTCCAACTTATCTTCTCACACCCCAGGCTCTGCCCATCCCTCCTGAACTTCAAGCTGTCAGCGTAGTTTAACTGTCATGGCCAATGACATCTCATGCAGATGGAGGACCATTTTTCTGAGAGTCAATGCACGAAATCTGACACTCCTTACATTAGCTTACAGCTTAATACCCAAGTCAGGCTTGTTCTGTCACATCTTGCTCTGGGCAAAATATGTCAGAGGAACATTTCGGGTTTATTAACTGGCAGACTTTCTCATGCTCTCATAGACTGTTTGAAAAATTGCGGTTTTCCTTTTGAATGGTGTTGGGCGGGTTACTGGTATGAAGGGTTTAAATCATTATGACTTAAAAGCGCCAACATTTTCTCAAAATGCAAGAAAAACAGCTGGAGTGTGACCTGGGCAATTGTATTTAGTAAAATCTGTTGAGTCTCGTCATATGATTTTGCTTTAAATTAGTTTGTAATGACTGTAATATGATGAGGTACTAAAAATTATAATTACCAAAGAATATAACAGAGAGTATGTTACTATTGCTGAGCTCTCGCCGCCATTTGGGTTCTAATCACTTTATCGACAGTGATTATACAACTGGCTTCATTGTCCCCTCAAAATCATTTTATTAATACCTTTTTAGTTGGATTATCAGGAATTTCAGTTGACAAAATAGATAAGCCCAACCCTGACAAAGTGGAAATAAACCCAGAATATCTTTCTTTCCCATTCCTGTAAGCAATGTATCTGAGGGAAGGTATGGTGAATTTTACTGATTTCCTGACATGATTTATATATCAGAGATCATTATCTGGCAAATTTCAAATGAGTAAATCGGGCCAAAGTGGAAGCACTATCATAACAGGGCATAAAGTATAGCCTTCAAATATAGCATATAATTACATTATACTAAAACAATGGAACATTATTATTATTATTATCCATAATTTGTGAAAATTATAGACAAGCTGTGTTTGATTTGTTTCTTATACACTTGTAAGCAAATGCCATGTTTTCAACAATGTCAACAAAACTGTTGGGATTCGAACTGCAGTTTCACCCTTTAGATGGAACTTGATCCTGATCCAACCCATTTAAAAGCCTCATCTTGACATGACAATAAGCTGAGGTTCCTGTCAACAATTTCTGACATAAATGAAATCCATTCTTTGAGTTCTCTCTTCAAAGTTCCTGTGTTCCCGCCCAATTTCCATCTCTCCCCTCGACCAGAGCCAATATACAGCTTTGTAGTGGAGCTGACAAGTAGCTGTCAAGTTCCAAGAAAATGTACTGTGATTTTAAGTACTTGACCACTCCCAATAGGAGGAATGGGTGGTGCTGTGTTTTTGAGAACATACATTTCCAAACTGGTACATTTGCTCAACCCATAGCCCTGTTGGAAGTATAATATGGGCCAGCTGACTGACAAAACACAGCAAGGTATGGCAGGGAGGAACAAAGTCTTAATCACAATCATTTTAATGTGACCTGTTCGACTCACCTGTTCCAGAACTTTGTCCAGAGGCTCAGCATCAACGACGTCCTCCAACGTCAACCCAGTCTCTTCTTTACACTGATCTGTCAGCTCCAAAGTGTCTGGCTTGACAAAACATTTATGAAGCTTCCCAACCTGTGAAAGGAGTTTAGGGGTTTCATGGAGCAGAGCAGAGCATGGACGGAGACATAAAATAGCAGCAAAAAGCCAAATAATGGCAAAAGCCCATCACATCATACAGAAAGTGAACTTTAAAAAAAGGGTCAAACAATTGACAATGTGGTTGCAGAAGCAGTTAATTGTCAATTAAGTCAAAGACATGCTAAACCAAAAATGTGTGTTTTCTCCATTACGTGAAATTCCACCTTTGACAAGTAGGAAACAAAATTTGATCACCTGTTAAAAGGTGAGCTTGTAGCGTTAGCATAATGAGAGCCCCAGAGAGCACTGCAGGCGGTAACAGAAGGCACACCGTGTTGATTTAAAAATGACAAACTGTTCAACTACAAGGTGGACACTGCGCCACACAAACACTCTGAGCTACACACACAAGAAACCATACAACTGACGAACGAGGTGGAGGGGTCAGAAAGGTCCGTACCTTTTTCTCATGTAGATCCACAATTTGCCACACCAAGAGAATTATTTCCCTCTCATCCGAACCCAGTTTACCCCCATTTGCACCAGCTGTTGCCCCAAAGAACACCACCAGAGTATCACTGTGCGAAGCCATCAGGGACCACAAGGGTAAAAACTACAATTAGAGCAAAGATTAAAATAAAAAAAAATAACACGAGGGTTCACCTTTTCCAAGTGATAAGGAGAGCGAACAAAAGGGCTGGAAAGTCAATTGAGATAAACGCAGAAAGAAAGAAGAGTGGGGAGATAACTTTCAGAGGAGCCACGGAAGAGTTTGCGGTCAGAGACTCTACCTGTTGCTGTACTTGAGCGTGTACTATCCAGAGATACTGGTTTAACTGGAAAAGAAGGGTGGAAATCCGTGTTTCCTTCACACGAACTCCATAACAAGCCCTGAAGGTTTTTTTTTTTTCCTCCACTCCTATTTTTTTCTTTCGAGTTACCTGTGTGGCTCTGCCTCTCAACGAAGAAACAGGCCTCGCCTATTGGGTGGATAACAAAGGTGAGGGCGGGACATCATGATAAATACTGGAATATCATTGGATGGCTACTTCCTGTTAAGGAAGTAAGTATAGCACAAAGGCTCATCCATGAACCCTTCCGATGTTCAACACTGATAGAGAAGGCAAAGTGCAGGTAAATGAGGAACATACTCTAAGCTCCTCCATAAGGCCGCTTTTGAATATTGTTAAAGTTAATACGTGTGTTGAGAATTTGCATTAAACAAAAATATTCAAAATACTACCCTGAATGAAACTTAATTTGAAAAAATAAAGTATTTAAGTATAAAGACACAAAAAAGTGTTGTATTGAGAGTGACAAACAGGTATTTTGACTGCCTAACTATTTCTGTCTTTATTATTATTAGTATGGCTTACAGTAAATAAAAACCCAAACATGTTTTTCAAAGATTCTAAACAAAACATAAGTGCAATATAGAAATTAATTTTAATGCATAAATATTACTTTATTCAAAATTACAGTAACTCAAGATGTGTTTTGGGTTCTTTTATATGAATGCAATAAGCCTGCATTATTGATGGCTCAAATTGAATTGTATTGAATTGATTTCATTGCAATGGGACAGTTTATACTAATTAAGGTACAATATTGTAATCAATACACCAGATTTAGCAAAGAGCTAATTTCCACCTGTAGGCTCATTGCCTTAAATAGAGGCCTTTCGCTCATTCTAATTGTTGATTGTCTAATTGCTTGTTCTAATTGAGAGTCTTGTATCTCTCATCCTTCTTAAGATGAGCTCAGTATTTTATCCCTCACGGGCTCAAATTACTTGCAAAGACTAGCTAAGTAGCACTGAGCTGTTGCAAATCTGCAACATCTGCCTGGGGAGGGTTAAGGTTTGATCATTTGTAATTTAATCTCCAAACTATAACAATCTGAGTGACCTAAAAGGTTCCAGTTAGCTTCAATTCAATTCAATTCAATTCAATTCAGTTCAATTCAATGCACTGGAGAAATCAAGGAACATGATCCTCACAGTGCTACCTGCTTTGTCCAGATTACAGTGGGATTATTGAAGCAGGTGTATGATGGCATCATCAACTCCAACTCCACAGCAATAAGCAAGGGAGGTCTTGACATGTGCTTGTCTGCTTATTCATGTGGGTCAACATGAATATCTCCAGGACCTTCATGAAGTGGGATATCAGGGAAACAGGTCTATAGTCATTGATGATGGGAGAGATTTCTTCTGTACTGGAACCAGGCAGGATGTTTTCCATAACAGTGGAACCTTCTCTTGGGTCAGGCTGGGGTTGAAGAGATGTTGCAGAATCTCAACCCCAAGGCAGCAATCTGGAACTGCTGCCTCGTTATGGTTCAGTCTCTCCAGCTGCCTCTTCACCTGATTTCTAGATTCAGAAAAGTGGGAAGGAGAGAAAAAGGAAGTAGCACCATCTGCTGATTTGGTTGAGGACAAACCATCTGCTGATTTGGTTGAGGACAAACTTGTGAAAGCAGGAGAGTCTGTGACTAAGGTGGAAGAAACAACATCTGAAGTTTGACAGGGTCAGAGGAAGGTGGGATGTCTGTATGGCTGGGGACAGGAGAGGATGATGATGATGATGAGCTTATTCCTGAGCTGAACCTATTGAAAAATGTGTTCAGTTCATATTCATGTTCAGCTCTCAGTGTTGTTGTTTCTCATATTGTCTATGTTCTTTTCCTTTATCTTAATTAAACCCAAAGTCTCAGGAGTGATTTTCTTCTTGCTGTGAGCCTGCTCTTAAAGACAGCAAAAGATGCAGATACATTTAATTAATTATTTATTTAAAAAGGTAATTAGGTGATTTTCATATGACATTCAAAATAGGTTGATGGTCCAAAACAATTACAGTAAAAGTCACAAAGAAGAAAAGAAAAAAAAAAACAGAACAAATCTGAAAGAAGAGAAATATGTTTTCACTCTATTGTACTGTAGGCTGTCACCAAGAAAAACAACCCAGGATCAATTTTTCTTTGACAGTTTCATTCTAAATATTTATTTAGTCATAACAAAATCCACTATCTCAAAAATAAGCTTTTGTACACACAGATTTAAGTGAGATAGAATCCCTTGCAACTTGAACCACAGTGTTTGCAAATATCGTATTGTCAGCTTAGTCACAGCTGGATAATATCTTTATTCAGAATGAATGAATGAAGCATTTCAAAATAACATATCGTGTAAGAAATTTTCTGTTTCCAAAATGGGGTAATACATTTATTGATATGTCACAAAAGTTGTAAAACAGTAGCAAACTGCTAACATTGTTGAGTTTTATTTGCTTTTAAACTACTTATCAGCAATTTGGTTCCATGTAGGCAATTCTTTTGCACTGTGAAAACACAGTACAAACTATGTAACACAAAATAGTGGCACATTTAGAATTTCACATTATATTCTTCAGCAACAACCACAAGTTCTTCTCAACATTTCTAAGAACATATAATAAGAAGTTATATTGCTTTGACTGCGTCTCAATTAAATCGAGGGCACAGCCATGTGGTAGTATAGAGAAGTGCAACTCAATGTTATTGTCACGCTTACATTTGGTGTCACTACAACAGGAAACATTCACTTCTCAGTCCAGTTTTTCCATAGGAGGAGTACTACCCCCAAAAACACTTTTATTTGAAAATTTATGAGTCTTCAGTTGTGTGTGAGAGACGAAACAAAGTTTTTGTCCTAAACGGCCCCTCATATTAAAGATATCATTTGCATTCTGATTGTCATAAAGGGACTCTCATAATAACACTCCCATCTCCCAAACATGTTTTCTATGTTTTTTTTTCCTTAATCTAATTTAAATCCCTGGTTTCAGAAGTGACTCTTTGTGTGTCATCCTGTGTGTAAACACTCATCATTTGTAGCCAAACTTGTCTGATACCCTAAGGCACACATAGGCTCTGAAAATCAATTCCCATGTTAGATACTATTTGATGTCATGCAGTCACAAAGTGAGCAAGCTCAAACCCTGATTGTTGTATAAAGTGACAAGAGTGGTTCAGTGGGTGTAACTGACAAAAATGATCAGACCAAGTATTAGCGCTATGGTGAAAATCCCTAGTAAAGGTTTAAGCTAGTCTATATCATATATATATGTCTTTATCCTGATATATGACTTGTAACTTTCTATTTTAAGAAAACACAGCTCTTTTCAAGCTCAGACACATTCTCCGTCAGATAGAGAACTGGGCTTTGACTTGGCCACTCCAGAACATCTACCTAATTGTCTTCCTACCTTTTCTGTGTAGCTTTAGTCTGGATTCTTCAGGTCACTGATTTGCTGAAAACTAAATGTTCTCTGTTTCTATAGTTCTCTGGCAGATTGAGTCTAATTGTCCCCCAGGATTTTGCTATAATCAGTTGCATCCATTTTACCTTCAACCTGGTCTTCTATCAAGAAGCATTCCCACGCCATGATGCTGCCACCACCAGGGTTTACTGTGGGGATAGCATGTTTGAGGTGATGTGTAGTGTTTGGTGTGTGCCCCTTGTCTGATGGTTAAAGAACCCCATTTCAAAGTTTCTTCTTCCACCTGAGCACGTAGTCTCACATATGCCATAAGAATTTTTTTGTATCCATCTCCTGACTTATGTTTTTTCTCTGATTTGCTTTGAGTGTCCTTTTGTCTTCATGTTGTAATGGCAGCCAGGAAGCTCAGGTGTTTTTAAACTATAATCAGTTGAAACACACTCACTGCTCTCAGGTGATCTCCATTAAAGTCACCGATTGGCTGAACCTTTGTTGATTTAGGTCAGTCATTTCAAAGAAGGTGAATATTTATTGAGTCATTTATTCGGGTGTTATCATGTGTCTTGATTTAATTGCTATTATTTTGATAAGTTCAGTTTTTATTTTGACTTTCAATGTATTATTTTAATTTCCTTTGTCAAAAAAGAAAAGTTTTGTTAACAATGATTGATTAGTAGAAGCACTGAAAAGAGTCAGCCATTCAAGGGGGTTTAAAACTTTTTATAGGCACTGTATAACTTAGCAAACTATAATGACAAATTAAAAAGACAGTGTTAAACTTTAACACTAAGATTTATTCATTTATGGTAAAAAAAAATTATTTAAAAGATACAGCATGTGTTCCTTGCATTTCTGACATCAGACCAAAATGCTTTGTAAAGCAGAAACGTGATTATAAATAGCTGAAAATATAAGTGCAAAGAAGTGATTGTATTTCTTTGTCCAAAGTTCATTTTTGGGTTTTGTAAGCTGAGGACCAACTTTAGGTCACTATTCCTCTTTTCGCATGTCAACAAAGGAAACATGCACTTTTTCATTTAGCAATCTTTTCAGTGAGGGGAAGTGACTGCATTGTGGGATACAAGAACAAAATTTTAACTTTTTCGCAAAAGGAAACAAACAAACAAGAAAAGAAACTCGTTCATGAAAGTAGTGTGATATGAAATACAAAAAAAGCTAAATGAATTAAAAATACTTTGAAAACTAGCTAATTATATTTTTAAAGACAGGTAAAGTGTGAAGAGCACAGCAAATAAAAAGTGTCAAACCAAAATGTGAGAACAGACACAGTCTATAAAACTAATTGATAGTTAGTGCTGTATGAATCTATAGACTTATCTCGAAAGTGACAACCAAAATTTTTTTTCCACAGCATGCAGTAACAGCATGCAACCACATCGGAATTTGCGTCAACAGCAACCACAAGATTACTAACTTTAAAAAATCCCTGAGCATTAGCCAATCTTGTTCCCAAAGTGAAGTACCATTTTATTTCAATTTAATCAAAATGAAACAACAGAAAACACCTCATTTAAAAAAACGTTTTAATTCATTTTCGTTCATTTATAAATGCATTGCTTTTTATGATAAAAAGATATTTGCACAAGGGATACAGCATACATAATACTTAAAGTTTCGTAAATAAATTAACAGTAGAAAGAAATGTGAATGCACTGGATAGATCAGCAGAGACATATTGTTTATATGTTGTTTTTTACCTGTTGAGGATTCGTTTAATGCAAAAACACCTCACAAGTTTCATTCTCAGGAAAATGATGATTTACACACAACTTCAGTACATATCAATGTTGCCTTTTGACTCAGTCACAAGCTCAGAGCTGTTCGTCTGATTGCTTTGTCTCCTCGACACAAAGGATATCTCCCTGTTCCCCTCACCCGGCGAGGTGCTGGAGATGTGGCGGAAGAGTTTCTGGATGCCGGTGTCATGCAGCGACTCCCTGAAGGAGCGGGCCGCAAACATGTACAAGACAGGGTTAATGCTGCTGCTGATGAAGACCATTGCTCCCGCTACAAAGGCCATGGTTTGTCTCGCAGATTCCAGTTTAAGGGCTGTACTACTCTTTGAGTCATTAATGGCCAGAATAACCATGGAGATGATGTTTCCTATATGATGCGGGGTCCAGCAAATGGCAAACGCAACCACGATGCTTGCAATCAAGACAGTGGACTTGCGTTTGGACCTGAAGTTCATCTGAGTTATACGACTGCACAGGCACCCATAACAGACCACAAGAATGGAGAAGGGCAGCATGTATCCCACCACCGTTTCCAGCAACAAACAAACCAACTCTTGGGTGTCAGAAGTATATTCGCGATACAGGCAGTGTGTCTTACCATCTTCCTCCCCGGTAACTTGAGTTGGAATTATAGGTATGCTGAACAGGAACCCAGCTGACCATAGGGCAAGGAGGACTTTATTCAAGGCTTGCTTCTTCTTCCAAACAACAGAGACGAAGGGATAACGCACGGCGACGAAACGCTCCACACTCATGAGCGTGATGAGGAAAACACTGCTGTACATGCAGGCGTTGATCACGAACACCATGGCTTTGCAGCATATCACCCCGAAGACCCAGGACTGGGCGAGGGAGTAGATCCAGAGAGGGAGCGTAATGAGGACCACCAGATCTGCCGCCGCTAGGTGCAAGATGAGAACCACCGTGTGTGAGCGCTTCTTCACATGCTTCAGGATGGTCCAGATCACAAGCAGGTTTCCAGGAGCACCAACCACGAAGGACAGACCCAGGATCACGCACGCCACCACTGTTCCACCATCAAATTCCTCAATGGCCATTTCCTCCAACGGAGACTGTGCATGTGAGCTGTTCATTCTGCCAAAGTATATGTGCTGACTGTGGTGTCTGGGTGCAAACAAACCTAAAGTTTTCACTTCCTCTTTGTGGAAGGAACAAGGTTTACTGACATGGCTTTTTAAGACACAGAATGTGACTCACACATGTGTCATCAAAATCATGGTAAAAGTTAGAGGATAAATCATTAGGAAATCACACATTTAACAGAAATGACTTAATGCTTTCTACACAAGTCGCTGCATAGCTTCACTAAATGGAAAGGCAGATGAAAACCTTAAAGCTGTTTAACTTTTCTTTTTTTTTAAAGAAAATTCAGTGAAACTTATATATGCATTATTGGGAAGGTATTTGCTCCCTTGCTGATTTATTTTGATATTGCTAGGTTACCCCAACTAAATCTTTTCAGATCTTCAAAGACATGTTTGTATCAAATAAAAATAATCTGAATAAATGCAAAAAGCAGTTTTCAAAGTTTATTAATTTGTCTAATGTGTTAAAGGAGAAATGCTAAAGAATTTGACTACATCTGTAACATATGACCCTCTTAGTGGCACAAAATAACATGAAGTATTTGTTGTTACTACAGGCAACTCTTCACAGATTGCTATGGAGGAGTGTTGGCCTACTTGTTCTGCCTGGAGAAATTTTAGTCATCTGCACGCTTTTTATTTTCTGTTTTTGTTCCTAATGGCTCTCATTAAATATCTATTTAAAGGGGTGACAAGGTGATTTTTGGTTGACATTGAAAATAGTTTGGTGTTCCAAAACCATTATAGTAAATGCTCCAAAAAAACAACAACAACAAAAAAAAACAAAAGAAAAATAAAAAAGAAAACACACACACAAATAAATAAATACAAAAATTGAAAAATTCTGAAAGAAGAGAAATACATCTTCATTCTCTTGTGTTGTAGGTTGTGTGTCAGTTTTTCTATTTCTGCTGCAGTTTTATTATGAATTTTTTTTAGTCATAACTAATATCTTAAAAATAATCTTTCAAATGCATCTGCTTCTGCTGAAATCATGAAGGGTGTAAGCAAGGTTGCAACTCAAACCACAGTGTTCGCTCTTATTGAGATGGTCAGCTTAGTTCTCATGCTTTTTCTGATGTCTTCATCAAGGGAATGAAAAAGCAGAATTCAGCGTTGTTGCATTTTTTTCTGTACTTTTGCACTTTGTATGTTGTGAAATCTTTTGTGCTCAATGTACATTTTAGTGGCAAAGAAAATGCAACTTTGTAATGTCTTTATTCACAATAACTGAAGCATCTGAGACAGGATTAAAATAACCTTTTCTGTTTCTAAAATGGAATAATATAATTTTTGATATGTCACTAAAGTTATAAAACAGCAAAGAAGGTGTTGTCCTTGTTGAGTTTTATTTACTTTTAAACTACATATAAGCAATTTGGTGATAAGTAAGCAAATCTTTTTCTTTTTTTTTTTACTGTAAAAACACAAAATATGTAACAGAGAATAGTGATAAATTTAGAATTTTACAATATATTCTTCAGCAACAACCACAAGTTCTTCTAAACATTTCTAACAACATATAAGAAGTTCTATTGTTTTGACTGAGTCTCAATTAAATCGAGGGCACAGCCATGTGGTAGTATAGAGAAGTGCATCTCAATATTATTGTCACACTTTTTATATTTGGTGTCACTACAACAGGAAACATTCACTTCTCAATTTAGTTTTCCCATAGCTGGAGTACCACCCCCAAAAACATTTTTATTTCAAAGTTGTAGACGTGAGCTCCGACTCTGCTGAACTCTGGTCCTTCTTCTGCTGTAATGCGAGGTCCTTGAGTCTATTTGTGTTTGAGGCCAGTTCCTGAAACAGTTTGATCAGACCAGACTCTCCAAGACTGCTTCTGAAGTTCCTGGCGAAGAAGACGTATAATACAGGATTCACTGAGCTGCTGAAAAAAGCCAGCGCACCAGAGCTGAAGATAAAACTTTCCGGTACGCACTCAATCGCTGACTCTGTCCCAAAAATGCAAACTACATCAATAATATTAATAACATGGTAGGGTAACCAGCACAGGATGAAAACAAGCACTACAGTGTGAATGAGAACTTTGGATTTCTGTTTTGAATTAAATCTCATTTTCTTGAGGCGCGCAGCCACAAGACAGTAACAGATGCTTAGCGTGATGCAAGGCAGCACAAAGCCCAGCAACGTCTCCAGGCATAAGAAGATAATTTCTCGAGTATCGTTGTTGAAGTCTCTGATGAAGCACTGATCGTTTTGCTCGCTTCCAGCCAAGGTATGTGTTAAAACATCAGACAATCCAAGAAGAAGTGCAAGAAGCCACAAAAGTGCAATACATCCATTCATAGTCTTTTCAGTCTTCCAGCGCATCATCAGAAATGGATGGCAGATGGCGAGATAGCGTTCCACGCTCATGAGAGTGATGAAGAAGATGCTGCTAAACATGCACACAGTGATAACACAGATTAAGATATTACAAACTACCGGTCCAAACTCAAAAGTGTGCACCAGGGAGTAGATCCAAGCAGGCAGAGTGATGAGGACCATTGTGTCTGCCACTGCCAGGTGCAGGATGAGGACCACCGTGTGAAAACGCTGCTTGACGTGCCTCAGGATAGTCCAGATTACTAGCAGGTTCCCTGGAACTCCGACCAGGAAGGAAAGACCCAGTATAACACACGCCACTGTTGTCCCACTGTCTAACTCCTCGGGATCTTCTGAAGCAAACGTTTCGATGGAGGAGTCCATGCCTGGAATGTGTTTTTGCGGCAGAGATTGAAAAAATGAAACTGCTGTTCAAGCAAGGCTCCACTTCCCTTTCTGAATGGAAGAGAATGCAGATTTTAGCTCCAAATAAGGAATTCGTGCAAAGTTCGCAACTTCAGACATGTGATCCATCTGACTTTAAAATTAAGAATGCAAGATGATGGTTGAAATAATGCCAAATGTTTATAAATATGTCTTAGTAAGCTACAACAAATTAAAACAGTAAAGTAGTAAAAAATTAATAGGTTGAAAGATTTCTTCAAATGTTTTCTACTAAATTTTAGTATTCTATAAAATTTTTCAGTGAGAAATACAATGTTCAGTGTTTTCATTTTCAGGCTAAAGACGTTTTTTTAAAATAATATGATGAAAATCTGTGTAAGACTACAAATACGTACAAGTAGTTATTCACTTTCTAATTACCCAAAAATTAATTTATTTGAAGTTATTCAATGTCAAGAATTTGCATACTACGATTTATATTCTTTGCTCTGTTTTCTCATTCCTGAATGAGATATTAATGCAAAAAGCATTAAAAAAAGGTTATGACAAATTAAATATAGCAGACAGTACAACACATAATGTGTTCTTTATAAAGAAACCAAATAAAACTTACTATTAGAAAAGTTTAATGCAATGACAGTACCCGCTGTTGCAGTAGAAAATAAAGGGAGGCTGGATTTGCTTTAACTTTTCTCCCAACAAGTTTAACATTGGGATTTGTTACATCATGACTACAAACTTTAACTTTGGACTCTGTCTAGGTCATTTGTTGAATTTATATTTATCTGAAGAGTTAATTATTATCTTTATCTGCAGGGTATATTTCTCAAACAGAAAAATCTACACAAACTTAGGAATTAAATCAAACTTAGTCTCATATACAAATATCACATTACTTTATCACGTAAAGATTCAAATGATAATTGTTTTTGATATTAAACAGTTGCTACAGAAAATATTACACAAACACAATTAACTAGACTACATCCTTTAATGGTAGAGACTGAATTTTAAATACATTTTAATGGTAAGTCTGTTTTTTTTTTTTTTTTTTTTTTTTTTTCTTCTCTCTCTTCTCACCTGGGTTTCATCTGATAATCTCTATACCTCTCTGATTATGCTGTTTTTCCCTTATTGGACATTTAGTTATAATATTCTCTTACCTCTGTGTCTTGATTGTTGCACCCCCACTTGGTTTCTGTGGAAGGATTTGTCATTTCTGCTTTGGGTTTGCTTTAGTTTCTTTAAGGGTTTCTTTCTGACCTAAGATGCATGACTCCCTCATTCATTCCTGGAATCAGTTTCTTCTCAGAAACTGACAGCAGGAGTTGACTCTGTCACGATGACACAACCAACGTGACATTGTAAAGTCTCCCTAATGTTTTTACTTTGTGATATAGATGACTAGCAGAGAAAATAGGTACTCCTATCATTTTAGACACATTGCTTCAACTATTTACAAAATGATCAAGTTTAGATTTGGGGTGGCTTTGAGGACTTTTCAGATGACAGACTGAATTAGAAGGACATTAGAAATTCCAACTTTTACCTTGGTTGTAGATGAAGTATCTGGAGGATGCAGTATGTGGTTTTTACATAAGTATTGATTTGGATCCTGATCAGACAAGTTCAAACCCAGCAAAGGCCTACAATTTATTTAAAAAATTAAAACAGACAGCTGATTAATGTCTGCAAAGCACAAATGTTAGAAAACACAAATATTCAGATACTCTGAATTACGAGTTGTCTTTTCATTACTACTAATTAAATCAATACCTTGGTACATACTTTGGTTTGCTTTGTAACTGTTACATAACTTTTCTTTTTTAATATTGACCTGTGTCTGATAGTTAATACGTTTGTATTTAAATAACAAATACTGACATTTAATCAGCAACCACTATAATCAACCATAGTACCACCAGCAATATGTGAAGAATGGCTCTAGGAGGAAAACACTTAAAACTTGCGAAATTACTGTTATGAAACAAAAAGGACATTTAGAAATATGTATGTATAATCCAAAAATATGTAATCAAATTATTTTTCTTTGAACTCTATTACAGTCCTGCTTTATTTTGTATGATACCACTTACAAAACCTTGAAATAATTGTAATCAGTTCAATTCAATATACAGCAATATCTCCTGCATAACACCATCCACTTCTAATCCACTTCACTTGCTTTCGCTTCTGCTCTTTAAATCTCTTTGTGGTCATATGGTTAGATAACCGGGCATATAATCCAGATTAAATGTATTCACATTGTCATTTTGGAAAACTAAACACTTTTGAAGCAAATGGTGGTGTAATGCTTCTCTTTTTCAGAGGGTGTGGGGGGAATCTGTGTGAAGCTTATTTTTTTGAGAAATTGTTCAGAATGTGTTTTCCTACAGTAAAACAGCCATTGAGTGAATATTTAAAACGCCACAGTGAGGGTGGTCGGTATTTTCCATTACTGCGGCTTTAAACCCGTCCCGGTGACGCTGCCTGCTCTCGGTCCAGCTTCAGCCAGCTGCCTGTGCTCCCTGGAATAAACACGACGATGTTGTCGACTGCTGTGTTCTTTCTCAACTGAAAGAACGGCTCACTTGAGAATAAACAGCACTGGATTTCACGTTTAATTAAGCCGGAGACAAATTGTAAGTGACTGAGTGTTGTTTGAAGTTTGCTCACACTGCGAAACTACGTAGCTGATATTACAGTAAGCTAATATGGGGCAACGTTAGCCAGGTAAATAACTCATGATCAGGGCGTTAGCATCTGATATTTAACGTTTCCTCTGCTGTAGTATTTTCGTTAGAATTATTGGTGATTCTGATCATATTCTCGTTGTTTTTATGGTCTGTCGTCGAGTGAAAATGAATGGTTACACTTCATGTATAAGGGAAGTGTTGATACTTGTTTGCTAGGTGGAAGCTAGCTTCGTTTGGTAGCGCTAGCTACTGTATTTTTATTTTTTTGGCCTATTTTCTATCAACATTTTGCGCTATGTGTGTCACACTTGAATGTTGCATTATGTTTTATTGTGGATATAGAAGCAGGCTTGAAATTAGCACAGCTATTTGATAGGTGGTGTGATTATGTAATATTTTCCGCTTAGCTCTTTTAAGTTGAGCTAACGCTAGCCGTCTTGTTTCTGCTTTTACAGGCTGGTGGACGCTCGATTTTCATAGCTAAAGAAGTGGACCAGAGACCACAAAATGCCTCTGCTGTTTCTGGAGAGGTTTCCCTGGCCCAGCTTGCAGACCTACACTGCACTGAGTGTGGCTTTGCTGGTTGGCAGCATCTTCAGTGCCTATACTACTGTCACTGACCCAGGGTTTGGGGCCTTGGAAACTGATGACACGCCAGCTCCCTCTGATGTTGATCTTGAACATCTGAGCAGTGCGGTCGGAAACACAGAACTGGCCAGAACTGTGTTGTGGTATTTAATTACAGACAGTCTGTTTGTATGGGTGAGTATCATCCACTTTGCAACTTTGCTATATTGTAGTAGCATGTTTGTTTATGACCCAAATTAATGGGGACTTCATTTTTTTGTGTCCTGACAGGTGCTGGTGAACACATTTTGCTGCTCTTTGATGTTAATTGCAAAAATGATTCAGTATGTGGTTTTTGGGCCCCTCAGAGTCAGTGAGAAGCAGGTAAGTTTTGTGTTGCCATGGTCCAGTGTATTGTGCTTTTCAACATTACAATTTTGCAACACAAATGTTTTCAATCAGTACAAGTCCTATGTTTGAAAGTTAATTTAATAACATGCCAGAGAAAGTATTCTGGTTTGAGTAAAACACGGGTGGATATAATGCAAATATTAAACAAGCCTCACCCATTTCTCTGTTTAAGATTTGCTATTTTTAAAACCAAAGATTGTATGTGGATGTGCTTGCAAAGAAGTTCATGTTTTAGTTGAATAGTTTTTGACAACATTATGCATAACTTTACTAATCAATATAGAATATTATCACAATCATAAATTATGTACAAGTATTATGAATTGTTTCCTTGCAGAGGGTTATAGTTTGAGAATTGCATACTGTCCTTTTCATGGTTTTGTAGATAACAATAAGCATTTGCGAATGGGAATCAGGACCTAATCTGCTGTCTTTTCTTTTTATGCATCAGCATCTGAAGGATAAATTCTGGAACTTTATCTTCTACAAGTTCATTTTCATATTTGGAGTGTTGAATGTGCAAACCGTAGAAGAAGTGGTCATGTGGTGTTTGTGGTTCTCAGCCTTGGTCTTTCTCCATCTCATGGTTCAGCTCTGCAAAGATCGCTTTGAATATGTAAGTATGTTCAAATGTATACGTTTTAACTATGTGACTGGCTGCTTTTGAAGGTTCACAGGATTTTGACAGATTAAGGCAAAGTAGTATTTTACCATACAGAATGGCCTTGGAATAATTTCCAGGAAGTTTTCATAACAGTGTATTGTGTTGTAAAAACTAATCCTGGTCAGGAAAATTATCATGACTGTTGGCAAATAACTACATGTATTACTGGGGCCCTGTGACTGTGCTGTGGTTCATTTCAATGCTATTGCTTGTGAAAAACACCACAAAAAAGACGGCTGCTTATCAAAACGCCATTTGTAAGGATGTCACTAATTTGTGTATTTCAGGGATGATTTGAATATGCAAAAGCAATGCCCATCCCTCAAATCTAATTTGAAAACATTTAGCACTGGTTAGCAAAAGGATTTACATTGAGATTTTCTTTCACTATGTGTACATATCAGTAATGTTTGTTGCCAAATATAGAAATGAAACCACAAGACAGTTTGCTTGCAGGGTGTATCACTGTAATGTATTGCGTTTCAAAAGGTTCTAACTGTGAAGAAAACGGTCTGGCAGATGGGGGACAGACTGCCTAATAAATTAGACTAAAGAACTCTGATGGTCATTCACCCTACCATGGGTTTAGAGATCGGTACTCTAGAAACCTTCACATTACTCTAAGTAGTTGTTTTTAAAGTTTTGCAGAAACTGTCAATGTAGATCTATTAATAGCTCAAAGTTCTGGCCTGTTTGCTTACTGATACAGTTTCAGTCTCAACACTGACTTGCCCTGTACTAGTTTGTGCCGGGGAGGAGGGTGTCAGATGTAATTTCTGACTAGCATGACATTTTATACAGGGTTTTTAATTGATATTGCACATAATATGGCAAGTTGACTGGCCATAGTAGTTTCTTCCACCAGTTCTTATTGTGTAATTACTGTAAATATCTTGCATGAACATATTTTACTTTGTATGCCTACATTTGCCCGCCCCTTGTCTTTTGGGTTTTATTGTAGACTTGCTTTTACTCATAATATTTTGGCCTAAAGCTACTTTGTGGTTGTCAGACCCAGATGCTTTCCGGTTTTTCTCTTTATGTACGTTTTCAGTAAAGATCAGATATTCAGGTTAAACAGCTGTAGACCAAAGATAAGATCGTTTAAGTCATGTGAGAAAATATTGTAACCCACAAGACACCTGTTTACTTTCATGCAGCTGAGCTGTTAAAATATGCAGAAACTGATCCACTTTTGCCTTCCATGTGTAACAGATATTTAGATTAAGCTTACAGTTGTATAAGTAATGTGGACCTTGAAACATTTCAGGATTGCATGGCCTGTGGGAAACCAGCCACGATGAGCTGAAATGAGCACACATAAAATTGTGAGGTTTTTAGTTCTGATGA